CTTTTGTACAAATGTCCTTGAAAAACACATGTATACATATTTTTTATAAATATACATATTTATTTTATACATATTATGAATATTTATTTTATACTCATTTATATGTATTTATTTTATACATAAATATGTATATAATAAATACGTATAAATATTTTATACATATTAATTTATACATATTTATATTATACATCTTTATATTTATTTTAAATATATTTAGGCATGTTTATATCTACATTTCTGTTCGAAAGGGGTTAAGAGGCATTGAAATATATTCATTATTTGAAAGCATACATATACACATTTTTGTACAAATGTCCTTGAAAATGACAGGCATACATATTTATGTTATACATTTCATAAATATTTATTTTATACTCATTTATACATATTTATTTTATATATAAATATGTATATAATAAATATCTATAAATATTTTATACATATTAATTTATACATCTTTTATATATCTGTTCTAAAGGGGATAATATACATTAAAAATATATTCATTATTTGAAAGAATACATAAACGCACTTTTGTGCAAATGCCCTTGAAAAAGACATGAATACATCTTTTTTATAAATATACATATTTATTTTATAGATATTTATTTTAGACATGAATGTGTATAAATATGCATATAATATGTATAAATATGTATAAATATGTATAAATATGTATAAATATGTATTTTATACATATTTATATCTAAATTTATGTTTTAAGGTGGATAGTCTACATTAAAAATATATTCATTATTTGAATGCATACATATGCACAGTTTTGTACAAATGCTCTTTAAAAATACATGAATATATCTTTTTTTATAAATATACATATTTATTTGGTATATATTTATACATATTTATTTTATCCATGAATTTGTATAAACATTTTATACATATTTATACATATTTATTTTATACATATTTATATCTATATTTCTGATCTAAAGGGGTCAATATACATTAAAACTATATTTATTATTTAAAAGCATACATATAAACACTTTTGTACAAGTGCTCTTGAAAAAGTCATGAATACATCGTTCTTCCATGCTCCACCAGCTGTGTGTTAAATAGTAGGGTAGACAAGATTTTCTAGCCTTGGGTGGCAGCTAGCCAACAAGGTCAACTCTGAAATCCAAACCATGGAGAAAGCAATATGAAAACAGTTTTCCCTATGAAGTCATAGCAATTCACAGATGATAAAGTTAAGGAATCTGGACAGTCATGACTGCTCCCATCCTGAATGCATATGGTATTAAAAGAAATCCTACATATGTATGAGTATACAAACACCTGCACAATAATGCATTCATTCACGCACACTTATACTAATAAGATGCAATTAGCCATTGAATGCTTAAGGTATATTTTGATGAAGAACACAGACAAGGAATTTTTTAATTAACTGTTTAATTAATTTTTCTTGCTTACATAAAAGAAAATATATATCAAGATTCAATGTTTTGCATTGTGAAGATGTTTTGACTCTTGCTCTTTTGCACAATAATTTCAGCCTTATGGCCACATCACTTTAACAGCAGTTCCTGTATGATCAAAGTTAAGCAACATTGAGCTTAATCAGTACCTAGATGAGTGACCTCTTGGGAATACCAAGTGCTGAAAGCTTGGATGTGTGGGTGGTGTTATGGATAACAGTTTAGAATTGTTAATTGGAGAGCTGAATTTCAATTCCATCTGGGTTTGTTTTATTCACTTATATGCAAATACTACTGGGGAAGCTATGAATCAACCTCTTCTCCCCCAGGTATGGGTTAATTAGTAAAACTTGTATCACTGAATCATTTATATCTAAAAAAATATTTTTTGGTTCTAAATAACCTGTAAATTGTTGATAAGCTGTAGAAAACAAATCAATCAATCAATCAAAAGAAGTAACTTCAGGATATTGGTGATTATGTTTCTCTGCAATTTTTTTATCCTTTGTAGTTCTTAATAAACTTATCTTTCATGTTTATCATGACCTTATGTCAAATCTGCAATCATAGAGATAGATAAATCCTAACTTTAATACTGCCAATCTTACACTATTTACATTATTCGGACTATTGTCCTCATCTTTGTCGCCATGTTTATCACAACGTTTTGGCCGTTGTATGCTCTGGTGTTCTTCAGGTGGTTGGAATGTCAAACTGAACCCTTTATTTCACTCACTGGGGTAGACTGTTTTAGTTCCATGTGCCATGTCTAATCAATGTCAGTTATCTCCTGTTAATTCTCCTCTCAAAGTTCTCCATCGCCTTAACCAGGTATTGAACTTACAACTCTTTGGGTTCTGTCACTGGATCTAACTAACACTTTTATCCACTGTGCCATGTGTCCGGAAAGAAGGCTTGAGCATACAATGACCAAAACATTGTGATAAACATAGCGACAAAGATGAGGACAAAAGTTCGAATAATGTAAATAGTGTACATAATACCTCATCTCAGAAATATATGCCATCTTAACTTGTGTCACCGTCTCTTGCATTGATTTTTTTATAATCTAAAAAATGCAAAATATTTAAGTTTTGGCTACTCTTCAAAAACAAAATGACTCCCCATAAGGATTTAAACTTTGAAAATTATTGATTAGGAGAAACATTACTTTGGTATGTTGAAATAACCAAAGATGCCTTACCAAAAAATAAACATAGTATTAAGAAACATGAAAATTTTGTTAGAAACAAAGAAAAGTGTGCCAAACTATGTAATACCAATCCTCCACAATGGCACTGAATTAAGAACAATTTTCTCAGAAGAGAAGAAAAGACTTGACACAACAGAGATATGGTTCTACAGAATGATGCTGAGAAGAACATGGATGGAGCATATAAAAAATAAGAAAGTTTTAAGGAAGATGAAAACAAAAAGGACAGTTATAAATCAGAAAGAATCAGTTGACATTTCTGGGACACATAATGAGAAAAGAAGTCTTGGAGAATTTTACACAAGACATACTGAAGACAAGAGGGACAGAGGAAAGCAGTAAGTAACTTAATCTGATGGCAAGATGGATCGTAAAACGATAAAAATCTTCAAGAGCTACAAAAACAGAAACTTATGAAGAGACATGGCATATAGATGAAATGTCTTTTGAGACACTGTGAGATATAAAATTCCTTCCTTAAGGAAAAAAATAATAGCAAAGGGAGTTTATTACTTCTTGGTGAATTGATTTTGAGAGTTGCCTGGAATGTCTTATGAGACACTGTAAAAAGCTGAATTACTTGACTGATAAACAGTTTTTATCAATGTGTTAAAATTCCTTGGTAACAATTTGTACAATACAGGTTAAAAAATGATTGATATAATAAATTGTCTAAGACAGGAGATATTAACACCACTTGGATATGACAGATTTTTTTTTTTTTTTAAATATAAAAAGAAAATAGCAGTAGGGGTAAACCTTTTATTTTATTTTATGCATAATTTTGGATTGAGCTCTGTACACTGAACCACATGGCCTCAAGCTTTGGACTCAAATCAGTGAACTATTACAAATGTGGAAAATAGTTGCCTGTGACTGTCAATGTGTGAAAACAATATTTCATTTTCTAAATAGAGAAATACAATGGGATGTTTGTGTTTGGTCTTGTGGTTTCCTCAAAGCACCATTTCTTTTGTGGGTACCTCATGCTAACATATCTCATATACCCAGAAGGCAAACTTCCTGAGATGAATTTTGACAAAACCCAATGCAACTGAACCTGCATAAATATGTCAATTTGTGTGGGTAAAGATTCATTATTTACTGGAGTTTTATTTATTCAGATTTATCTATTTTTTTTTAATTGTTGTGTTTTTGTTTGGATTTTAGTCGAGATATTTTATTCCGTTTTTTTTTCTTTCTTTTTTTAACATTTTCTTGTTTTTTTATCATTTTTCTTTGTTCTATTTTTTTATGTTTTTGATTTCTCTTTCATTTAATATCTTTTTATATTTCTTTCTTCCATCATATTTCTTTTTCATTCCTCCACATCTCTGTCATATTACTTCTTACCTCACTTTTTCTTCCATATTTTTTTTTATTTCTCACTCCATCATGTTTCTCCTTCAATTATCCCCAACAATTATATTTCTCCATCATTCCTCTCTTTCTCCTGTATAATTTTATTTTTCTTACCTTCCCCATCATATTTCATGCTCATTCTTCACATCCACATTTCTCCTTCATTCCCCTCCTCTTCCATATTCTCATTCACTTCTCATCTCCTCCACATTTATGCTGTGGTGCTCACCTCCTCCTCCACATTCCTAATCACTTCTTCTGTATTATTCCTTCATATTTCTCCTTCATTTCTTAACTTTTCCTCTATACTATCCTTTCATTCCTATCTCCACCTTCACATTTTTTCTTCATTCTGCACCACCTTCTCCATATTTCTTCATCTCCCCCTTCTTATTTTTCTCTTTCTATCTCATAGATTTTTCTGTAACTGTCATGTTTGCTGTTTGTTATACTGAAACACTGAACTTTCCCATTGAATGAAAGACAACATTGACTAATCTCATGGATATAATCATACACAAGGAACAAATTCCATTTTAAAGAGGAGAAATTTTCCTAGGACATGATACAAATTTGACTGAAATCTGCAGTGCAATACATACCTGACTTATAAAATGATCAAGAAAGAATAAGAAAAAAAAATGAAAACCATTGCTGATATTCTGAAGATAGAATCACAAAAGAATCAGTAAGAAAAATTCTGAATGAGAATCATGGTGAGTTAAGACAATAAACTATTCAGTATTGTTAATTAGAATTAAAAAAAACTCTTTATAAATGTGGCCATTACAGGTATATGGGACTGATTTGTATGAAGTCCACATGGCAATAACGTATTTTCTTGGTTATTCCATTTAAAAAGATATAAGTGTTGTCTCAAGTACAAAGATGAGCTATTTACATGAAATACTGAAACTTTTATGTCTCATCTTTGTAGTTCTGATTACAATGTTTTCATTAAAGTTACAGAAAAACTACAGACATTAGAGTTCCAGAAAAAATATATGAGATAAAAAGAGAAAAATAAGAAGAGAGATGAAAAATGGGGAGAAGGAGATAAGGAATGAAGAAGAAATGTAAAGGTGGAGATAGGAATGAAGGAATAATAAATAGATGAAAAAGTATGAAATGAAGGAGAAATATGAAGGAATAATACAGAGGAAGATTAGAAAAATGTGGAGAGGGAGGTGAGGAATAAAAGAGAAATGAGGAGGAGGAGGTGAGGATGGAAGAAGAAATGTGGAGGAGGATGAGGACTGAAGGAGAAATGTATAGGAGGTAAGGAATGAATAAGAAATGTGGAGGAGGTAAGGAATGAAGAAGAAATGTGGAGGAGGAGATGGCTGTGAGGACTGAAGAAGAAACGAGGAGGAGGAGGTGAGGACTGAAGGAGAAATGTGCAGAGGAGGAGGACTGAAGGAGAAATGTGTAGGAGGAGGAGGAATGAAGGAGAAATGTGCAGAGGAGGACGACTGAAGGAGAAATGTGTAGGAGAAGGAGGAGATGAGGACTGAAGGAGAAATGTGCAAGAAGAGGAGGAGGGCTGAAGGAGAAATGTGCAGGAAGAGGAGGAGGGCTGGAGGAGAAATGTGCAGGAAGAGGAGGAGATGAGGACTGAAGGAGAAATGTGCAGGAAGAGGAGGAGATGAGGACTGAAGGAGAAATGTGCAGGAAGAGGAGGAGGGCTGGAGGAGAAATGTGCAGGAAGAGGAGGAGATGAGGACTGAAGGAGAAATGTGCAGGAAGAGGAGGAGGGCTGGAGGAGAAATGTGCAGGAAGAGGAGGAGATGAGGACCGAAGGAGAAATGTGCAGGAGGAGGTGAGGACTGATATTCCCAGTAATTTTCCAAGAACTTTCAATAGAATTTTATTTTATTTATAATACAATTTATTTTTTACCTCATTTTTACTGGCAATGTAAATGATTTTATATATTTCATCATTTATTTATCATTTAGTAATGATGCTAATAGTTGCTGTTATGTAATATCAGTCCTTCTACATGGTAGTGAATTCTAAACTCACAGATGAATTAAAGGCTTGACTCTCCTTTAAATCACCAGTTTCTCTAGACATTTCTTCATCATTAAACTTTATATAATACAGGCAGATAGTATCAAATCTGTTGGCGGACTAACTCGGTATACTAATGAACAATAGCTGTCCACACATTCTCATTGAATGTTACAGTTATAACTTGTATGGTCTGGGAACTTACTGATACTATTATTCATTCATTAGTTATGACCCTAGCTTCTTTATTGATTAGTTATTAATCAATTATATGATTTTAAATATTATTGGAATAATTGAAAATCTTTAAAATTGTTAAGAATAAAATAAAAGTCTTGGTTTGATGTTTTTTGAATATTACTGGATGTGACAAAATGAACAATACATTAGTCAATTGAAATGTTTTGATAAAAACAACACTGATGATGATGCCAATCTTAATACTTCCTGCAGTAATATCAATGATGCTGTACAAGACTGATGGAAAAAAAACAAGGCTTTTATCTTGTCAATTTCAGTACATGGGCAAATAGAACTTGATTCATTTATTGACTAATCTGATCCTACTAATATTGACTAACTGGTCCTACCTCATTGTATTTATCAATATGATATATAATTACTTGATACTAAAAGAGATATTTTTTATCAAGTGATGTTGGAAACAATTATTTTCCTATTGTATCAGGATTAGGTCTCTTGTAATTAAAAAGCAAGTTAATTATTATCCAATCTACAACCCCTTTCCGAGAGACAAAATCTTGTTAGCCTCTTGCTACTTTGTTGCTATTTCCAGGGCAGATATTCAGACAAGCTACATTCCTTAGTTCCATCAGTCCAGACCTTCACAGCTAGGATCCACCATGCCATGTACACAGAGTTAACTCATTCCTTGCATATTCCACTGGTAAGGAGGGCGTTTCCCAGACATGTTATATTGTGGAACAGACTACCAAAAGGATGCACATCTCTGATCACTACAATCATAACTGCTTCAAAGTCTAGAGTATTTTTTTTTCAATCTTTTCTCAACCAGTGCCCGCTTTGAGCACAAATATTTTTGTCAATGCCTCCCCTGCCAAATTAAATTTCAAATATTATACTGAATTCATCAGTAACATAACTGTTATAGTGGAACACACCTATTCTATTGTTAATAGATTCTCTCACCTATAATAAGTAGGAGTAGTGGGGGTCGGGTCAGTCAGTCAGTCAATGCCGGACAACCATTAGTCGGATACTAAAGTATCAGTGACCACAACTAGATTTTTCTGCATCATTACCTATTATATCAAGTTCCTAACATTTTGTATGTCGAACCTATTTTAGTACCGACTTAGTACAAATACAAGCCTCCACTGTGAAACCACTCCACTCAGTGACTCAGCAGTTCCTAACTTGCTTAAAAGAAGCCTAACCTTCTTTCCTTCAGACCACAAGTGGCAGTCCTCGTTATACACGTCCATATATTTTTTATAATACTCCTCAAAAATTATCTCATCCTCGTCGCCAAGTGTGTTATGGAGTGGTTTCACAGTGGAGGCTTGTACTTGTACTAAGTAGGTCCTAAAATAGGTTCAAAGTACAAAACATTAGGAACTTGATATAATAATAACACTGAGGTATTAGTGCAAAAATAATTTCAATATTGTTTTCATTTCTATTATAAATACCAACGATTAAAATGCTAAAAAAAAAATAGATTTATCTCAATGTTTTCAATGTGATGGTTGACTTTGGTGCTTACTGGCTAGGGCTCTTGGTTTCATGCTGTTTAGAATTAATTGTAGATCTCATTTTGTAAATTGCAGGTGGTTTTGTTGTTTAGTATGAAGCTGTGCAACTGTGGTGAAACCACATTCAGTCATATAGGCAGTTGGAAAAGCAATGAAGAAAAGTTTGATAGTATCCAACAGATCTTTCAGAAATTTATTTATGCAGTCAATATTGAATATTTTTTAAAATTTGAAAAAAAGAATGGGTAAATGTCCACCACTCCAGAATATTTTCACCCCTCCCATGAAATAAAAACTCCCCGTACCCACTTTCAACATAACAAGACCCACAAGTGGGGAGGTGCTACGTATGTTGAGAAACACTGCTCTAGAGTCAACCATTATCTATTCTACATATCCTCATAATATTCACCCCTTACATCCCCCCTTGTACATCTTTAACAACCTCATTCAGTAACCTCTACTTTGAGTGACTCTTGGGCTTTGTATTGGATGAACAATAGTATTAAAAAAGTGTTGTTAAAATTAAGATCCAATTTTGATTACTTCTACTTATAGACTAAATTATCTATAAATTGACAGTAGCAAGAGCTATATGGTAAATGTAATATTAACTTTTTCCTTATTAGGAAACATTTGGCATTAATTGACTGAATAGCCAGTGATATTTTCAATTGAAATTTATCAAATCTCTCTCTTAAAACAATTTTTTAGGAAAATAGTTTTCTCACATCCACTGTTATCGCTCTTTTAAGTATTGATGGGGGCCTTTTCTCAAACTCTTGTTCAAAGTTGTTTGGAATATGAACATCTTGATTATGTCATTATTTTCTCCTTAAGTTGCATGTGCTATCCATTTTAGATGTTGCCACTCTTGAAAGTCTTCAAGTGATATGCTTTCTGCTATTTGGTACAGTTTTTTGTGATTTTATTGTGCCCATCCCATGATGTTCTGAGAAGGATGGTCCTCTTTAAGACCTACAGGGTTCATTCAATCAAAGGCATTTTTAATCCTTGATCTGAGAAAGTGATTGTATAGAGTTGAGAGTTTAGTCATTTTGTATATTGCTATAAGATTTTTTTTTAATATGAAAGGGGGAGATTTTTTTAAACAACAATTTGAATGCTTTTAAATATAAATTGCTGCCAAAAAAAAATAAAAAATGACTGAATCTGTTCACCTGTCAAGTTATCCAGTGTTTCTCCGTGTCTCATTGGTCATTTCAGATGTTTTGAAATCAATCCATTAAGAAATAAATAATCTTATTTCTTCTTTTAACAAAGTTACACACTATAAAGCTGAAGAGTGATCAAAGGTGGAATGTTACAGTTAAAAGGATAATGATGAATGATACGGTGTATGATATAAATTGAAGAGAAGAGGACAAGAAACAAAGATTGTGAGGATAAAAAGGAAAGATAACACAAATGACAATTGTTCTAGCTGTAAAATTCTGAACTGAAATTCTAATGGAACAAAAGAATGGAACTCATCTGAAATAGTGAGAGAGTAGCAACAAGCTTGCAATGCTGCATCTCTGGCAAAGGGAAAGATCATCATTCACAAGAATGCCATTTGGTCTGGACTGACTCTTGCAAAGATAAAACATGGCAGTAAAAGTTAGATACTTCCAGGAGTGATGGCATACACCAGCTGTTTTTCCAGCATTTTTAACAGAGAAAATATGAACTAGAGTTATGTTCTTAAATAGCTTCTTCAGACTGAGACTTTAATATGAATGCCATGCATTCAAAATTATTGAAATGGTCAGCTGCATGCAACTAATTTCTAAAGATCATTGGATCAAAAAGGCTTTGAGTAAACCCTGAGGGTCTTGGCAAAGTTCATTTTTTTTTTGAACATTGCAGATTGGTACTGCAGATTCACAAACAAAGAACTGAACCAAATAACAGAATCCATATAAGTTGAGGACTACCAATAGCAGCAACAACTGAAATGGATAGCACATGTGATGCAAAGAAAAAATAATGACATAATCAAGATTTTGATATTCTGCACTACTTCAAACAAAAGGTTAGGAAGGAAACTGTAGAAGGGAAAACAGCATACCTTCTGGAACAAAACGCATACAGAATACATAGAAGAAAATATGTCTGATCCAAAAGCTGCCATTTAAAACCAACTCGATCTCAGAGATTTTTAAGACGTATTTTGTGGCTAATGCAAATTTCTGAGCCTCACCTACTCAATAAAATGAGCATGAATGAGAGAACATAAGACAGGCTGCAGATACTGATGAGTCAAGTAGTCATTCTTTGTGTGTTGTGCTTTGTGGTAGTCTCAGTAATTGTGATCAAAAAGATAGCATACAACTGGTACTCCAAACAGATGTACCTTTTCTCTTTTTTTTTTTTTTTCTATAGAAATGCCTGCCAATACTGGAAGTAGTCTCAACAGCCACTGAACTTGAAAAACCTATTTTCTGGAGAAATATTGTTTTAAGAGAAATATTTTATAAATTTCACCTCAAAGTAGTACTAGGTGCTTGGCCAATGGAAGCCAAATGTTTCCTTATAGGGAAATGTCTAATATTACCATGAGAGACTAAACCATTTATCATGACTGGAGAAAACTTGCAGTTTGACTTTTATCAGATTTGTCTTGGTCTGAAGAAGCCAATTGATGCTTTTATGGAATTTATCAGGTTGTGCATTTGTGTGTTTTTTGAATAGAGTGCATGTTCAGTGTTCATATGCAAACAAAGAAGATAGAAGCATACAAAAACTTGGGTTTCTACCATGGACCATTTATTCTTTTTATGGTGACTGTAGTGGGACAAAGTTCTTAATATCTTTTGGGCATGCCTTTTTTTTCTTTTGGTCCAGGATTTGGGTATAAGCATGAGCATTGTATTAATGGTTGAGCACAAGTCAGCTTTGTGCAGAGTTGTAACAACCAATGGGAGGTTTGTACCTAGTTTATCACTGGAAAGATTAAACATGATTATGGTATATCTGTTTTCTTTTTTTTTTGGTCCAGAAGTTAGGGTAAGTATGAGTATCGTTACAATGATTTCACTCAAGTCAACTTTGTGCTGAGATGAAACAACCAAAGAGAATGCTTCACTTACTTCATAGGTGGAGGTTTTAGAAGCGACATGCGAGTACCATGCATTGGAGAGTGAAAAGAGAGTGCAGTTCTCAGTGGACTGGGAAAACTAATATTCACCAGTAGGAACATAATTACCATGTTCTACATCTTGAAGCAAAGAGAAGAAAAAGAGTGATGCCGGAAAATGTTTATCTTTTTATAGGCTTCAACAGTACCACCTAACAATGTTTTACAAAGCCAAGTGGGGTATCATATTTGCAGTTCCTTTACTCTTAGGATCATAAGCAAATATATTTCTCTTCTTTTTCTTTTTGTTTATTATTTATAATTATTATTATTTTATTTATTGATTTTTTCTTTAATTTTTCAACACATTAAGATCTTTTATTTAGTTCACAGGGATAGATTGTTCTAATTCCACATGCCACGCCTAAATAAAGGGTTCACTTTGAAATTCTAATATATATCAACTGAAGAAAGACAGGGTATACAAAATTTTACTTTTCTCTATGAATTATAAATTAATTAAATTTTAATTTGGTATCCACCCAAATATGGATATTGTATTATATTAAGAATATTAAAATTAGCAGCTGTATATATTTCTGGGATGAGATATTGTAACTATTTACACAGTATTTATATAGTTTAGACTATTGTCCTCATTTTTATTGCAATATTCACAATGTTTCAGGAACAAAACTTGGAGAGTTGAGCTACTAAATGAGTTAACTGAAACGACATATCCAAAAAAGGCATGGCATGGAATTAGAACAATCTATCCTGGTGGACTAAATAAATGGTTCGGTTTGAAATTCCAACGATCATCTGATGAAGGCTGAAGCATACAATGGTCGAAAGATTATGAATATGGCACTAAAGATGAGGTCAACAGTCCAAATGATGTAGATAGTGTAAATAGTTATAATACCTCATCTCAAAAATATAGACAAATATTCTTCTATTGTTCTTGCTCCTTAATAATGTTTCTCTTCTTATTCTTTCACACTTACTAACCCCTTGTGTCTTAGTGGCTTTATTACCTTTCATTCAGTGATATGTTTTAAAAATGATCTACAATAAACACTGAGCAGAAATAATCTGTTTTTTCAAAACTTTTTTTATATTACTATAGATTAAACATTCTAGATCACCAATATTAATTTTTTAAATTTAAATTTATAATAGATAACAGAGGATTCATTTTTCTATGTAAATTCCTTATAAATTGATCCCTCTATGGAAATTTTGCTCATATAACATGATTTCTTTTTGAAATATCATAATCTGGAGTGATTAATCAATAGTAATATAATAAACAAATACCAAATATTAAAATCCTCTTCTATAATAATCTTGTTTTTAATCAATGAGTTTGCCCTTTATAAATTACTGTATTTGACAGCATATAAAGTGCAATTTTTTTATTAAAAATATCTTTTAAAATTCCCCTGCATCTTATATGCCATATGTAAGGTTAAAATTTGTGATAGTTGGCCAAAATTAGATGATGCATTATTTAATGGCAGTGATAGTAACTTTAATGGTAACTGTACTGTTTTGCTCAATTGTAGTAATTGCTTGATTTTTATTTTGTTTTCTAATTTTGGATATAATAAAGCTTTTATAGCCTCGTGTTCTTTTTTCCTATTATTTTTCATTTAATTGTAATCATGATTAGTTTAACCAAAATAATACCTCATAAATATAGCTTATGCTGTACCATTTACTAATAATTTTACTAATTTTACTAATTACTAATTTTTTCTTGATTTGCCCTGCCGAAACTGGGGTGCGTCTTATACACCGATGCATCTTATATGCCATCAAATATTGTACCACTTATCATTTTACCTTTATGAATGTGTTTTCTTTCTCTGAAGAAACCTTAAGTCCTACAATTTTTTGGGCAACTCTTTGTATGTGTGTCTATGTATAGATACATAAATAAACATTAATTTTGGTATTCCAATTCAAAATTTGATTGCTCAATTATTTTCACATAATCCTGTAGCAAACTGTTTATAAGGATAGCTTTAGTTCTGTTGAGGCAGTGAAACAGAAAATTAATGTAGGTTGTAAGTTTTTTTTTTTTTTCAGCTATTTTACAAAAAATAAAAAGAGAGAGAAAGTTCAGTGAGTCAAGCAATTTTTGCTAAAGACATCAAACATGAAAATAGGAAATAAATTTTTCAAGGTGAGGCGGATGAATGAGAAATCGGATTTTTAACAAATTCAAACCTCAAGGCTACAAAAATTGTGATAAAGTGAAGTGGAAAATACAATATACACAAAAAAAAGATGCTTCTTTTTTTCAAAATGGTGACTAAACAGATATGTCTATGCGATAAAACACTTGCCTCAAACAATATATTGTCACAAAAAACTAAGATAAACAGCTTCTTCAAAATAAAAAATAGAAATAAAATGACAAAAAAGTTAATCTTAAACAATTATTATCCATATTATTAAATATTATTAAACCATTATTATCCAATAAATATCTAGCTGTTTACAATCGTTACATTTGCCAAGAGAAATATTTTAAATAATCTCATCTTTTTAACTGTAATGCAATCTTTGTCTTGTTGTTTTCCCTCACTCTTTGTTGCTTAGTATTTCTCACATTTTCTCTTCACTCTCATACTTTGCTTGTTTTTCTATTTTATCTGCCACTTTTTCATACTCCTTGTTTTTCTTATAATCAAAAAAGAAAAATATGACAAACTGTAGATAAGATGGTTCAAGTAGATAATGAGTGAATAAATAAGTGCAATATATTATGATAAATAAAAAATAACAAGAATAAAATCACAATAAAACCATTAAATAAAATAATACAAGAAAAAAATGACAAAAGCAGATTATAAAAATCAAAAACAAAATTTGAGTAAACATTAAAAATAAAGGCAAAAAATGGGTGAATAACTTTAAAAAAAAACAATATATTCAAAAAAATAAAGTAAATTTATGAAATTAAAAATAAATGAAAGAATAAAATGCAAAATAACAAAAATACAAAAAAAGTAAATAACATTTATAATAAGAGAATAACAACAAAATATGAGAATTCATAACAAAAAAGATAGACAATATGCAAATAAATGAATACAATACTAAATAAGAAAAAAAAATAGGAAGCAAATGGATGACAAAAAAAGGACAAAAAAATCAATAAGCAAACAATATGAAATACATAGAATCAAATATAAAAATATGGAGAAACAGATAACAAAATACATTAAAAAATGTTAAATTACATCCATATATGAATATATGTTTGTTGGAATGATATATATATATATATATAAGTAAGCACACATGTCTGTATGTGTGTGAAACTGTCTGTAAATTCTGTGTGTCTATCTTTTCTGACTCTGATGGTTTGAATTCCAAGATATTTTAAGGGCTTTTATGGCAGACACTATTTCAATGTTTACAAGGGAGGTTTTCCTGGGGCAAACTTGCCTTCATTTGATTTTTTCCATTGAGTGGGTTAATATCACAGAAATCATCTAATGTTGAAAATAACCTCCTGAAGCAATTTTTTTTCTTTTCACATTTTTTAAAAACTTTTTTTTCTTATTCAATCTTAACAACATGATTTATTTATTATACTTTATTTCTATTTCTTGATTCTGGATTTATCATTAATTTTATCATCAATTGATCATCATGTTCATTTAACTTTGGTGGTGATATCATCATTATCATCATCAATATCATTAGTAGCAGTAGTAGCAGCAATCATAGTCAATATGTACAGGGTGCAAAGGGTAAATTATTGCCATTTTATATTTTTAATTTTACGCATGTGCATTGTTTGTTTTTGTCAACTGCACAGCATAGTACGGCCAGTTGGGCACCCTCAGTGAGAAACAGAGCATCATGACACAATTCGCTCCGCCAAGAATTTGGAAATGTCATGCTGTACTACTTGGCATTCATGCCGGAAATTCTAATACAAGCATTTCAGACAGTCTGTGTGTTAATCTGAGGACAGTGCAGAGGATTCAGAAAGAGTTGGATGAGTCTAATGGTGATTACGAATGTGTTTGGAGTGATCACTAGTGATGGCGATGTTATGTCTCCATTTATCTTCCCACAAGGCCTCAGACGAAACATGGAGACCTAAGATCTGGCAATAGGACTTTGTACCATGCCACACAAGCAGGAGAACCCAGTCATGACTGTCAGACAATTTCTACGACCACATCAACCCTTACATCTGGCCACCTAAATAAACAGACTGCAACCCACTTGATGATAATGTGTGTGGCACAGTTGAGTGAGAGGCCAACAAAACTCTTTGTAACACCAAAGATGAACTGAAGGCAATTATTATGGAAGTATTTACCAAATTAAACAAGGAAACCATCCAGAAGAGATGCAGGAGATTCTGAAGTTGTCTGGAGGCCATGGTTGAAGCCAATGACGATTTTATTGAATAAATTTACTCTTTAGTATTTGAAGATACTTGTGTGTAATTTTGGTAAATATATCTGTTAAAATGAGATGTCAATGTTATTTTCATTTTTGCCTAATTTAGTTGACAATTTATCCATTGCAACCTGAATGTATTATTGATTTTAATTACATTTCTGTTATTGCTATTATTACAGATTTTTAAATTAATTTGATCATTATTATTACTGCACTCCTTGTGTTTTTCATTAATACCATTCTATTAATTCTTAATATCAATTAAAGGTTTAAAAATATCTAATTCTACTGATTGACCAACATCACAGTTACTGCTGTCATTACAATTAATTAAACATATTATATTAAATATTTAGTTTATTGGGGTAGCAGATCATTATTTAATCATATATTATTAAATATAACAGACAACAAATGTCTATTATGTCTGATCATGAGCCGTTCTAATGTTCGAATGTTTTCTGTAATTTCGGGTGAAAATAAAGACAAAAATTGTCCAAAATTTGGATATTTTTTATTAAGTTGGTTCTAAGCTTAAAATGAAGCAACCTACAATCAATAAAATTACATTCCAAACTATTCACAACACATTACATTGCATCTAGAAATTGGTTCTTTTGCAATACTTTGGTCTATCGCGTGGTACGATATTATAGAACCGCATCTTGAACTTATGATCTGTGTCTGCTACACTGCAACTGTTTAAGCAGATTTGCTATCACACAGTCTCAGCAATAACTACCATTTTTTAATTTGAATATGCAATTATGTAAAATATCATAAGGAGTTGCCAAATAGTTTTCACTCCACCTCACTTCCCCAAATCTTACTAAATGATCATATATATATATATATATATATATATATATATATATATATGTATATGTATATGTAAGTATATATATATGGCGATATTAGCTCCCCAAAAATAATTAATTTGGTCAAGCACTGTGGGGAGAAAAGTGCAAATTCGCAAACAGACATTATTACTGATGATAATGCAAGACTATCCAAACTGGAATGAGTTCTCTAGGTCACTGGTGTGTTTATGAAAAAATAAATGTGCAAAAATTCGACTTTCTTCATGATGGGCATCAATAGCCTAGGGATTAGAATCTCTGACTGATGCCAAATTGGTTGGGTTTCAGTACCAACTTGAAGCAATTGGGTGTCTAGCCACACTGATGAGCTGTGAAACAGTGAAACAGTCTGTCTGTAGATGACTATATATATATATATATATATATATATATATATATATATATATAGTCTGTCTGTAGGCACTATTTTTTCAGTTATTATTGGCAATCTGGAACACTGAATTTAAAGTCCTACATCAAGAAAATTTGAATGAAGCCTAGTATCCAATCACTTCAGAAGTCTAAAGATGTATAACTATGGAGAACACCCATAATGTAAAACTTCAGGTTGAAGAAGAAGAGAAAGAAGAAAAAGAAAGGAAGAAGAACAACAATATTTTTTTCTCCCCAAATTTTTGTTATACTTTTATTAATTGCTCTTGTTTTTCTTTTCTCTTTTCAGACACATCAACTTTGAATTTTCAAAATGGCATGGTTGATGAGAATTTTGATCAAATCTGGGCAATGATGATAGGAGCAGAAACACATGAGGATAAATAATAATAAACAAATGTTTTGAGGCAAGGACGGAGAGAAATACTCATGATTGAATAAACACCATCACAATCTCAATAAAAACTCATATTAAAAAATAAATAAAATAATAAAGCAGATAAAATATACAAAAGTGAAAAATAATAATAAGAAAAAAAGGAAAACAAGAGTGAAGGAGACTGAAGAAGTAGATTTAACAAGATTAATGTTTTTATATATTCCCATCAATTCTATATTTTTTCTTTTTTTAGTTTATTTCTTCCTAACATTACATTCAAGATACAAAAAAATTCTTTTCATGATAGCTAACTCTGATACATATTCCCTTGACATATGCACAATTATTGTGAGCAATAAAAACTGCTTTAAGAAATAACAAAATTCATTTAAGTGTAAATGCTTTAAAAGCATAATTATTCTCTTCTCTTGCCCTTCCTGTTTTGGGACTTAAGCTATCATGGATGCTGTACTTTTGAGCCACTTAGACAGTTATCTCCCTTTTTTTTCAACTTTTTCAGTGTCTATTAGAATCCATATTGCTTTTCCTTGATCTGTCATTCAGACTATTATCTTTGTCTATGATATTTTTGTCATCTTGAAAGTTACTTTATGAAATAAAATAAAATAAAAAAAAAAAAACAACATTATTCTTTGACTTTGATATGTTCACAAAAACTGTTATCTTTACATCTATTATTTTCCTGTTTCTGTTAGAATAGATACCATTGCTATTTGCTTATCTATTTTTCCATAGATTGGAATTTGTGAGAAGAAACACAGTCCATTGACTTTCTCTCAGTTATTCAATATTTCTGACATTTCTTTCTCTCTTCTTCTATGTCCCATCAGGACATTGGCAATCATGGCTCTCCACAATTTACAGTCCTTCACTTTCCACTCTCGATAGCATACAAAAGCATCTCTGCATCCTAAGGAGGCAACAAAAAAATTTCCACTCTACAACTCCTTTCTCAAAGACAAGATGTCACAAGCCTCCTACTGCTTTATCACATTTTTCATAGAGAGTGTTCGAATGAACTATACTCCTTTGTTTCTCTGGTCCTAACCTTCACGGCTATGACTAGTCATTGTAGCAAACCTACCTCATTCCCTTTGTATACACTTGGTGAGATGTAAGTTCACTCAAACAGCTTCTTCCCACAAACCACTACCTTGTGAATCTGACCCCCAAGAAGTTGCTTCCTTGATCACTACAATCTTAACCTGTTCAAGTCTAGAATTAACTCATCTTCTACACATATGCATAAGTTGTTCCTCTTACCCTGTAACCCTCTACCTTGAGTGACCCTCAGGCCTTATACAGGTGAACATCAAAAGAAAAAACTTTAATAAATTTTATAGTTTTTGCTATCTCTCCTAAACCCTATTCTTCTCTCTAGGTAGGTTATGTATTATTTCCTCTATCCTTCTTGACTTTAATCTGTCCTGTGAGTATCAAATTTTCTAAGCCCTTTTTTTGTCATTATGTGCCTAAGAAATTTCACCTTTGCCTGATGTTAAGTATGTGTCCTGTTTGTTTCCATTTTCTTTAAAACATTGTTTGTTACATGTTTGGTCCATTGTATTCTCAGCATCCTTCTGTAGAACCACATTTCTGCTGCCTCAAGTCTTCTCTTCATCTGTGAGAAGATTGTCCAGCATTCACTGCCATGTAGGAGGACTGATATTACATAACAGTTTGGTACTCTTTTCTTTGTTTCTAATGAAATTTTTCTGTTTCACATTATTTAATTGGTCATTATTCTTTTGATTTTACGGGATGCTGTCAGAAAGTTCCCAGTATGAGTATGTATATTTAGCAGCAGATCAACTTCTTATGGGTCATTTAATGCCGAACTTTAATTTTCTTGGGAGCAGTAGTAACATTTTACAAAAATGTATTGCTGCTAATATTTTTTTCCTTAAAAAAATGTATTTCTGGTAATATTTATTTATTTATTTAAATTTTTTTTTTTTTAACACAAAAATGTATTGCTGGTATTTTTACTATACAAATTTATACATTCATAGTGTTTTGATACCAGTTTGGGGGTTAACTATTTGCCCATAGATGGGACCCTAACAAGTGCTACCATCTCGGGTCAGGTTGGACCTGGGAACAACAGCAATTAAGAGGTGGTTCCAAGCTCCTCAAAACCTCTTCCAATCAGAGACCTTGCTGCTGGATGTAGTTTATCATCTTATCCAGAACTGCTGGACTGTATGATTCATAACTGTACCATTCAATGGGAATGCATGTACAGCTATTGTTCACTGGTACCCAATCTACTGCATTAGTGTGCTAATAGATTTCATGCTATCTGCCTCTATTGTATAAAGTTTAATGGTCACGAAAGGTCTGAAAAAATAAAAGATTTAAAGAAGAATCATTATACAGCTTAAAACTGTGTCTATATTGAAGAAATTTGCTGTTCATGAATCAAGTTTAAGCCAACAGTTAAATCTGATATGAACAAAAATGATATTACTATGGATGTGGTGAAAGAGTAATAGTGGAAGGGGCTTATTACTATTATTATTATTATTATTATTATTAAAATTCTGGGAGTGTTGGAACCCTTAACCTTTGTTAAAATATCCAACTACAAGAAGGAAAAGTAATTTAACACATGTTAGCTTGATAATATCCAATGATGGTGACTGGTTCTTCTTT